AATAATATTAATATTATCATTTAAAAGTGTCATTTACATGTACGTGTGCTAGCTGTAATTTTAGTGAGGGATCATTAAAATTATTATTATTATAATAAATCATTATTAATAATAAATTATTCCAAAGTCATACTACTACATAAAATTAGACTCATACAAAATTAATTATAATTATTTAAAATTATTTTATAATAGTAAAAATACAAAGTTAAATAATGCATAATTAATTATTATCATTAATAAAATTATTTAAAATTAAATTTCCTCCTCTCTCTGTCTCTCTCCAGCCTACAATGGATAAATGGTTTTATGTTCAAGATACTTGTGGTGTTCACAATCTTCATGGTCTACCTGGTCTCCTCTCAGCAGTTGCTTCAGCCATTGCTGCCGGAGTCGCTTCCAACACAGCTGGCACTAACCTGGTCAACTACGGCAGCAGGTAAACTTACACAGAATATATTTAAGATGGAAAGATTTGTACTTGAAAAATCCTTTATTAATCACTTAAATCTATTATTATTTTTATTTATTTATTTATTTATTTTTATTTTTATAGTTTATATTTGGTGTTTCCAGCTCGTGCTCCTTCCTCTAACCTCACAGTAGAAGAGATACTCCTTGGTATAGAGACTGGAGAGGGCCGGTCAGCAGGTGAACAGGCTGGATACCAGCTGGCACTACTAGCCAGCACTTTATTCATTGCAGGAATTGGAGGGATCATAACAGGTGGATAAGAGAGAGATACATGTAAATTGTGGTTGTAAAAAAATTCGAAGAGAATGATGTGCTTAAATTTAAAATTATTTTTGAAGAAAAAGAGGTCTAAATTTTATAAGATATCACTGTACTTGTAATATTGTTATTTGTTTCTTTTCTTTTCTTAAAAGGTTTGATTGTTGGCTGCATTCCATGCTGTCAGAAAGTTGCAGATGATGGATTGTTTGATGACGACTTGTACTGGCAGGTATAACAATTACCACCCACTATATTCCACTGCATGTTATTAATTTTAGCAACTACTTTTTAAAACAGTGTTTCCCTAAGCCAAATTACCACCTGTTAAATTTGGCATTCAAAAACATATAGCTTCATCAATTTCACAACCTTTAGCCACATTCATTAGCTCATGCTCATTAAAGGCTGGTTTACAATATTACACTAGTCCTGACATTACATTGACGCTGGAATAGAATCTGGTTCTATTTTAGGGTAAAGCATGCGTCAAAAGGTCAAATCACCCACGCTTTTGATTAAAAAATTGACTATATGCTGACCGATCAACCTGCCTTAATACATGTAGTGCTCTTGTGTTAGCTCATATACATGACTCAGGCCATGTTTACACAGCAACGAAAAAGATGCTATCTGTATAGTTTTGTGCCTGTTTTATGCTTTTGTTTACACAGGAACGAATTAAAACGTGACAGAATCTTGATAGAACTCTGTGGAAACAAAAACGGTGTTCAAAGTGGATACTTTAAAAACGATGCATTTTGCATTGCTGTGTAAACATATAGCCTCAGTGGGTATTCAGTTTAGGCATTTTTATAACCATTTCCCAATATGCTGCAGTTAGCAACATGTGTAGTTTTTACAGTTCATGTATACTAACATATACAACTCTATACAACATATACAACATTGTGGAATTGGTGAAAGAGAAGCTATGTTTTGAATGTCAAATTTAACAGGTGATAATTTGAATTTGGGGGAAACTGTTAATCAAAGTAGTTGCTAACATTCATGCTCACATGACTCCAGTAGGTACTTAATTTAGTATTAATAAAACATTTTCCTGATAATCTTAGAATTAGGAACATGTTAGTTTTTACAGTTCATGTATACTTGCATATACAACTCTCCTTTCTTCCTCCAGTTACCTGACGATGCCGATAATTACTTACCTAAAGATGAGGACGAAGAGCAAGCGTCATTGCTCCCTAACTCACCCTCTCAAATTGAAAGTGGTCTGAACGGCTTGAATGGGAAGAGAAGACGCCTTACTCCAGAGGATGAGAGAAAGAGCTCGGAACCCATTAGTCTTGATACTCCGCCCTCACAGCGTAAACCAGGCGCTTTTAGGGTCCTACCTGATATAAGTAGGCGTGGTGACCCCGGCAGTATCAATAAATCCCTGGGCAGTATTGAGCTTGATGAAATCACACGTACACCGGAAGCTGAAGACTTAAAAGTGTCAAACGTTTAAGAGACAATTTCATTTTTTTTCATTTTTGTATTAAGTAAATTAATTTGATAGGTTTTATTGTTATAAGGAACAATAAAAATTAATTTTGCAATCAAATTTAGACCTGATTTTGCAAGCATTATTGCTGCAGATAATTTTTTCTTTGTAACATTATTATAATCATTATTGACTTTATAATAAATATTAATTATTGTTTATTCTGAAAATAACGAAATATGACGAGAGAGAGAGAAAGAGAGATCAAGAAGATCCAATAATAGGTATATATTTACACAGGACATTATACTGATAGAGAAAAGGAGGGGTATAGAGTTAGGGTAGATGGATGAACATATACATGTAATATGTCATTTCTGAATAAAAAGATGAGCAATACTTATGATGATGATGATTTTAATGGAATGAATGCTATAACAATGAGGGAGGGAGAGAGAGAGAGAGAGCGGGGGAGAGGGAGGGAGAGAGAAAAAGAGTGAAAGAGAGAGGGGGGGGGTTGGAGAAACATTGACTTGCAAGGACATTGACAAAAACAGAAAGAGTTTTAAAAAGAAAAGTAGAAGAGAAAGATACTTTACATCAACAAGTTTGAAGGTTTGGTGTCGAACAAGACGTCCTATT